TAATTACAACGTCCAAAGGACAGGTGAAGAGACCCACACAACTATTACATCCATTAGAAGTAGTGAACGAATTTTAGAACTATTGACTTTGTTCCAGTATTTAATCAGAATAATTTTGGAAATTAATTGATTATTTGGTAATTTCTTCGCTTAACTGATTAATTAATCTTATTTCATATTTTAGAAGATATTCAAGAACAGCATTTTTTTAAACTGATAACAGTAGGTAATTGCAAGTATTTTCATTTATTTAGATATAATTCTTATTCTCCTTTTAGATGTCATATATGTGGACTCATTTGATTATTAATCTGTATATACTATATTAATAAATAATTTATCCTAACCAAGTTTTGAATTGAGTATTGAGGTAGGAACACTCCTTACCTGTAGAACATGGAATAAGAGAGTTACTACTTGTAATTTACCAAGTTGTTTCATTCTTGAACTGCATTTTGTTTTATATGGTATTCCTATTGTTTAAAAAATATGATGAGAAGGGAGGAAAACTCCTCCGTAGAAATTAAAAAAAATGCAATTACAATTAAAAAATATTGCAAATACTCTAAAAATGAATGGGTTCTTATTGGTCAACAAATGACTGACATGCATATCGTTTCATTTTCAAAAAAAAAAAAAAAAAAAAAAAAAAAAAAATTTAGAGGTGAAGTAATCTTTTTCCTAAGCTTCCTTTTGTGATGTCTTTTTATCTCAAAAATATTCATATTTCATTGTTTAATTTAAAAACTAAAGCTGGTAGAAATGACAGGACTACATTCTCCGGCAGATGCACATGCTTCTAGCATATCTAGTGTTGTCAACTTAAATTGACTGATAGTTTAGCATATACACTCTATAACGAAAAAAAATCGACGCACCAAGAAGGAAACATCCGATTGCTTTGAAATTTCGTATTCATAAATGTTTTGACCAAATATGCAAATACTTAAAATTTGGTATCCAATAAATGAATAGTGCGATATCCAACGCATCGGAACTGCGCAACCAGCAGATAAGGAGCTATTCTTGAACTTTTAAAAATTTCTGTTGCATTGCGATACCTTTCAACGACTGAAAAAGTGCTTCGCCACAGGATTCGAGCTCATTACGAGCAACTGTCAGAGTTTGAAAGATATCACATCATTGGATTGAAAGAGGCAGGTTGGGCAAATCGGAGAAACGCTCTTCATATGAGTCGAAGCGATGCGGCGATTAGAAAATGCTCGCAAGAATGAGTGGACAATGACAGATTTCAACGTCATGATGGTAGCTGTCGACCTAGGCTACAACAGATCGGAAGGACATAGTGATTGCCAGATCAGCTGTCACATCGCCCGATTCATTGCATAAACCATCAGATGTGAAACTAGTACACAAGTGTCCACCCCGAACATTCACAGATGGCTGATAGAGCGAAATCTACGCTCGTACCGACCGTTACGCTACTTACCACTCACGCCTGCACACTGTTGAGCCAGATTACAGCGGTGCTTGGCTCTATCAGGTTGGAATGATGCTGACTAGAAACGTATAGTCTTTAGCGACGAATCCCGCTTCCAACTGTGCCGTGACGATTATTGAAGACGTGTTTGCAGACGCCCAGAGCAGCGTGCCGTTCCTGCTTTCACATTGTGCGTCACACAGGCCCTCATCCAGGAGTTATGGTCTGGGTTGCTATTTACCTTGATAGCCTTTGGTCGTCATTAGAGGTACATTTACAGCACAGCGGTACGCCGATGACATTCCAAGACCTGTTTTGCTACCTTCCTTTAGCAGTACTCTGGCTTTATTTTTCAGCAAGATAACGCCTGATCACATACGGCATGTGTTGCTATGAACTGTATTACAGCTTGTCAAACACTTCCTTATCCTGCCAGATCTCTTTTGCATGAAGCATGCCTGGGTATGATGGGAAGGAGACTGTATCTATCAGGGAATGTTGATGACCTAGCCTGACAGTTGGAGCAAATTTGGCAAGAAATACTGCAGGACACCATCCAGGAGCTTTATCAGTTTATGCCACGCCATGTGGCAGCTTACATTCAGGTTAGAGGTGGGTCAACACCTTATTAAGCTCTTCACATTATAAGTATGTAACTCTGAAATAACTCATTCCCAGTTGTTCTGAAATTTTAATCCTTTTCTATTCTGTACATAATCTTCCCATCCTCCAATTTTTGTCTCCCTCGGATAACTCTTTCTTGGACACTACAACAAGAGATGTGCGCTTCTGCTGCTGATTTCAAAAGTCTGTATACAAAATCGGGTAAGAGACCAAAACGTCATTGCAGAGGATTTTATAACGAACCGAATTAAGGAATTTGAAGAGCCGTATTCGACCCGTAGGAAGGTTTTTGCACACCTTTATTCTATGGAAAACTATTTGAACGTAAAGAAAATCCAGGCAGTTCTGTATTTACTTTAAACTTGACCACAACAAGACTAGTTGATTATTTTACGGATTATTTTCAGCAGAAGGAATCAGTTTAAATTTTTAACAAAAAAGGAAGAAAAATTTCGGTAATTAACAACAGTTTTCAACTAATCAAGTTTTTCAACATGAAAAAGATTATGAAGAACAAATATCCTTTTATCCCATAAAATATGTAAGTGTACAAAGGAAGCTCTTCCCCCCTTTATTTAGCTGAGAAATAACATTTGGCGTGGAGTTAGAGGACAACAGAAAAGTTTCCGAACAATGTTTTCTGGGTTCATTTATCGAAAAATTTTCTTTTCCTTTTTATCTTTTAATTTTTTATTTATTTATTTATTTATTTTTGTGCAGGGCAGAAAATATATTTTTTTTAGGGTTAAAATATCAAGGACAGGTAGGAAGTTGGAGAGATTCAGTTTCAACATTCGACAGGATGGCAGAATAAATGTAATTTATAAAAGATTAAAATACTTGTTAAAACATTAAACAAGTTGTAAAACATAATCAACCCATAATGACACTGGACTGAGGGTGCTTCTTCATATGTAATCCTTTAATTAGATTCTAGTAAATGCCACCGTGTTTAGTATACCACAATGTTTAGTAGAATTGAAGAATCTGAGTTGGAAACTTTTTCTCCTGCTCCTAGAATATTGGAGCTTCGAGGAGAGAAACAACAGAGTAATGAGAAAGCTTACTGCTTGTTGCGATGTTGAATCCGTTTTTTTTTTCCATGCATTCAATAACTGTTTCCTATATTTCTACACTGTATTGACAGTGCGACTCTTAAAATTCCATCTAGCAGCTGAAACATGCGTATCCTGTTCTAACAATTTCACCTAGAATAGCAATAAGATATATTTAAAAAAAAAAAAAAAAAAAAAAAAAAAAAACACCTCCAGCTTGGAAAATCTAAAGATATGCTCATTTAAATATTTTGTGATATTGCTGTTGAATTGAATTTTATGGTTAAATGCGAAGAATATGTTATTTAATAAAGGTAACAAGACGTAAAAAAATGCACCTTTGGGAGCAGTATAAAATCTGAAAGTTTTCAGACTTTTATTTATTTATTGGCCAAAAGGACTATTAATTTCGTTTTGGCATTTTACGCTGAAAACTTTAAATGTCGGTTCACTTTTCAAATTATTGCCACCAAATATTATCGCCCTATGTTATCTCTCTATATAATAAAAGAAAGAATCTGTGTGTCTTTCATACTACTGGATTGCTGACTGTTGAAAATTAGCACTGTTGCCACTTAAAAAAAATGAGGGCGATAAATTTGTGCAGTTTTTAAATTTAATGTTTCTCTTGGATACTGGACGTTTGTTGAGAGAAGGCAACGCGAAGTTGATTAATTTATTTATTAGGATAAATAATATTTGCATTAAGGGCTTATTTCATTGTAATTTTGTTATATGTAATACATTTGAAAAAATATTTTTTTTGATGAAGTTGTTTTGCAAAGTAAAATTCTGCGCAGTTTTTAAATTTAACATTTGGTGTTCCCTTCACGCAATTTTCCGGTACATTTAAAAGCCAGACGAAGGCTGCAAGCGTAGCTGCTAGTATTTAAATAAATTAAATAATGAAGAATCTGCATATAAATGCAGAGCTATGTTTCTCGCATTGTGATAGAACAACGGCACTTAGAGCCATCGTGAATAACGTGATCTTCCACAGAATATGGGCATCGGGAAGCCCTAAATTGGAATTTGAAATTTGCTTTATCATCTATTTCATATTTTGTAACACTTCAACGAATTTTTGATTAACAAACTCATCGATTTCAAAGCGAGCAATGGCAAAACTGTACATAATAATAAATAAATAAATAAATAAATAAATAAATAAAAACCACTACGCGCGAGACTGTGTATCGGATATTCTAAAGATATGCTCATTTAAAAATTATTTTTGCGATACTGCTCTTGAATTAAATTTTATGGTTTAAGTGCAAAGAATATTTAATAAATAAGGGTAATACACAAAAGGTTAAAAAAGTCTCTTTGGACGTAATGTAAAATCTGAAAGCCTTCAGATTTTTTTTATTATTTATTTACTTATCCTATCTCCCATAAACTCGAAAGTATTCCACGAGATGGAGACGACCAAGTTATTAAGGTTCACCGCACCTAGATAAACTTTTGCTTAGTTAAGATTCCTCAAAAGTGCTTTCGAAAATTTTTAACATCAGATAACGACAATGTGCACCCTTAGAATGAATATTCAAAACGTGCCATATACAGAAAGGTTAAGAATCATTTTCCAAATAAAGGCCAATTTTTCATCGAGTTGCAAGTAGCATTACAATAAATTCATTTGAAATAACGCTTACATTCAACTCCCTAAACACCGTACAATGATTTTTCTTTGAGATTTCAGCCAGAAAAGGCTTAATTTCATTATACAAAAATACTCTATAAGATAATAATCTAAAGTATAAAAATTTAAAAACTAATTTAACAGACACTAAAATAAGCATTTGATAATTGAAAATTTTGTAGATTTACAGAAGATCATATTCAGTGTAAACAAATGTCATGTAATTTAGTAAACATACCTCAATTATTTGATCATTTACTCGTATTTGACCGCACATATCAGCTGCACTTCCTTTAGCAATACTTTTAACAAAAATTCCAGAGATTTCTTCTGCAAATAAAAATAATCACTATTAGACGAAATGCACTACCATATAAAATCACAGCAGGGTTAAAAATTTAATTTCCAAAATAAATACACAAATGCAAAAATACAGTAAGTGCCACATATAGTTTGTTTCTTTACGGAAGGGATCAGTTTATATTATCAATTAAGTGGAATTACTTAATATATATAAATTCATTTTAAATCCAAATTATTTTACCAATGCAAAAAGGTATACCAAATATACAGTACTGATAACAACGCAGTTTTGAAAAGTCGTATGTGTTTATCTTTGTTTTGAAACATAAAAACGAGTTACTTAAAAGGATATAAAATTATTTTAAATGTTCCATTAAAATGCTTTATGTTTCACAAATAAACAAAGCACGTGAAAGAAGGAAGAGGAGGAAAATATATATATAATGATTGAAAAGGCTAGAAAACAGCCTTCTTTTCTTTTCTGCAGCCAGATTGCTCGTGAGTTCAAAAATCAAACAAGTGTTGCAGCATTTATTTTTGTTAAAATCGCTTACAATTGGCACTCTGTTGGGAATGTACCATTTAAATGGAAGAGAAGTAAAGTGATGAGTGAGAAATGGTAAAATTTAAAACTAGCCTCTCTTCCCAAAAAAAGACAACTTTAGTTTGGTGTACATTCTGAATAAAACCCTACCGGTTTCGAAAGCGATCAGACACATGTCCCTCTTTTTTCAGGAGCAAAAAAGAAAGGAAACTGTACCTGATCGTTCTGGAAATCACAGTTTTATTTAAAATTTACGTCAAAATAAGGCTGTTTTATTGCTATTTTTAAAATATACCGTTTAGAAGAAAATTTAAAGAGCAAGATTTCCTACACCAATTTTTATACCCCTCCCCCCAATCTACATTTTAGACCACTGGGTTCTGAAGTATAAGCAGCAATTTAACAGCGATATCTTTTGCAAAGCAGTGCAAAGTTTTAAAGTTTTTTTTCTTTCTTTCTTTGTTACATAATTAAATGTATTTATAACTATTGATTAATTCATACTAACTAAATAATTAAGTATATTTATCACAAATTTAATATTGTTTTCCTTTAGAACTTTATTGCCTTTGAATTATTTGATAATTTTATAAGATCCTTCAGTAATCTTAATTAGAATTGCGATAATGTATTATAATACAGCTTAATAACCACAAAACAGTAATATGCATTCTTCAAACAAACCATTTCCATGTATACATTTCATAAACATTTTCTATTTTAACAGGCTAAGAATGTTAAAAATAGCTCTTTAAAGAAATACTTTCAACAGCCAATATGCGACTTCACATTGATTTAATGAATCCATCGATTAAACCACACCAATAATAATAATGGAATTTTTTTCTTATGACTCGAACTAAATACTAATGACAGATCCACCCACCAAATAAAAGTTCTCTATTATATCCAATAAAACGAAGGTAAGGTGCTGAAATTAATCGCAGTTCAATAAATAAACCTTACAGCTGGTTTAGAGTACACTGTTTTCTTCCAGATAATTTAGTTTTTTTCTTCTTTATTTATAGATGATGAGAAGCAAAGGACGGTCTTTATTTGTCTGGCTCCCTGAAAAGAGGTCTCTAGCAAAATAATAAATGTGTCTGTCTTTCCCACTTCGGTATCTACTCCCAAAGTCATCTGTCACGAGAAATAAATTTATAAGACCACCCAAAAATTTATCTGTGGATATTATGGTGAATGAAGACACCATCTTCGAATTCCATAAACTTTTCACTCGTTTCACGTTAAACCATTATTTTAATTAGTCAAGTGAGCATCTGTGCGTATGTATAGATATATACCTAGATATAAGTTACACAGTTTTAATATGATTTGAAAAGTAAAAAATAATTTATTAAGCAATATTCTTGGTTATATATGACTAAGAAAATAGTTTGATTGTTAAAAAAATGAGGAATTTTACATACAATTATCAAAGAGAAATTTAAGTGAATTCAATATAACCCTTCTGTAGGATGTTCCAGAAAAATGCAACAGTGTTATATGGCATATAGGATCGTTTAGGTTTCTAGCCAGCCGAATGAAGGTGCATCCATTATTTATTCTGAATGATGTTATCTCAACAAATAGGTGTCCATATTTGAAAATTATACACCTTCTCTTACGCAACCATATTACTTAGGATTAAAAGTAATGCTAGCCAAATGGGAAATGAAAGAACTGAACTTGCTAAAGAAGAGGCTTATAAACAGGACGCCAAATGAATTCTCAAACTCCAATGCTTAAATTATATGATGCTTAAATTTGCCATAAATACGAAGGAACAAGCCTGGGTGGCTACAGTTAGGTTATTTGGTTACAGTAAAGCATCTAGCGGATTACCAACTTAAGGGGAAAGATATCTTCTTGTAGAAATTTCTGAGGAAAACTTGCTAATATTCATATTACGCATGGTGAAAAACGCGAATATCAATTATGCAGTCAGTCCCTTCGCCTGGGTTCGAATTCAGGATAAGCTAATAGAATTCAGCAGTTTTTAACCGCTCGGGCCACTGGTGGGGTCACGAGACTGGGAGGAGGCAAGCAAAAATGTATAAAAAATTACTATTCCATTGCGGTAGGCGTTTTATATACGTATATGATGTTGTTTTGAGACTAGTCTCGTGGCGCCATCAATTACTGGAAATGTGAATCTCTTCGGCCAATGTGGGCGTATTTATTATTGCGATGTTCGCCAATAGAAGGCGCCTGTGAAGGTCGCTGTTCTTAGCTGCTCTCCTCGCGGGCGAGTTTAGAACTTGGGGCCTCCTTCCTAACTTGATGCTAAAAAGCCGGTCGGTCCGAAACAACTATTTAAATCTTAAACAATTTGGAGCGATATTCCCCCTATTTCTGTTAAAAAAAAAAAAAAAAAAAAAAAAAAAAAAAAAAAAACTCTTTCTGTCAGAACTGTGCCATATGTATGACAAAGCACGCATGTTATATGTATAACAATACATATAAATGTATGGAAATATGTTCGTATGATAATATAAATGCATGTATGAGAAACAGAATATCTTTCATCCAAATATTCAAAACATTTAATGCATTTTGAACCAATTTCAATTTTATGAAATCTCAGAAGCATCGTCAACCTTTGTTCGGAATGGACACAAAACGATAGACTAATCGATGGGGTAAGCTCATCCTACACCGCAGATAACAGAAATGTCTTAATTAACTACAAGTTTATTAACTGTTGGATTTCAATTTGAAATTATTCACAAATACTGTCTCAAGCAGCTGGCTGTATTGTAGAAGGTACAGTAATTTCTCAGGCGCACATCCGTTAAATAATAATCAAATTTCAAAGTATCAAAATTTAATTAGCTACTATTTGAGGCCTCTAATTGACCACTTTTATACACTGTTTAAAATAATTATCATTTTAATACACAACTGTGCTGGCATTAATCTTACACTGTTTCAAATATTCGATAATTGTCTTAGTGAGAAAGAATTGAATACAGCAATCTGTATCTTCAATTACTCTGTTATCTCAATAGAAAATAAACAAATGTCTGTACCTAGGTAAACGAAGTTTCATTAATCAAATTATAAAAGAAATGAACAGATATAACTTAATAAAATGGAAAAAATATGTTCTTTTGTTGAGTAATGTGTTTCTTTTCGGTTTTTTTAGGGGAGGGGGGAAGGGTTAAATGATTCGTTGGACGTATGATAGAAAACAGTATAAGAAACAATTCGCTTCCGATACCAATCAGAAAGACATTCAATAAAAAATGCCCGTTTCTTATAACCTTCTCAATCTATCAAACTGTTTGCCGTCCTATACCGCGCATCATTGATATTCTGAGAAGTTTCTGGCAAGGAGCCAAAGCCAGTCGATTGTAGCGGTCAAAAAATATTTAGAATGAAAGACCTATTAGCGCAGCACCTCCAAAGAAATAAAAACGCTTGCTATTGTATGTTTAATATCATTCTCTTAGAGTTTGGATGTCTATGCGACGTGACTGGCTCTGGCGAATCGACAATTTTCGTCCTCTTAATTTTCACGCTACTTTGCCCTACACTATTCTTAAATATTTTTCTCTTTTCTGCATTTCTTTTCATTACGCTCCCTATGTTTTGATTTCACGGACATTTTCCTTACGGCTCTTAGCGATTTCTATACGTTAACAATCACATAAATTCCCCACTTCACATATCAATGTGCAATCCATCGTACACTAATAGCTCGCACACGTGGGCCTTAAAACTTTAAAATTACAATTCATCTAAAGTGGATTTTATCTGTGGTAATTTATGCGAGGTTTCTCCTAACAGAAGTAATCTGAGGTGCTGGTAATAAATAGCATGATAGAATTCGCGCTGACACGAGCCTTAAAATAAGTAACAAAGCTTGGATTAACAACGTAAAAATATCGGTTACGAATTTCGAGAAATAAGATGAAGGCTTTCACCCAGGATTTACACAAGGCAATGAAATGATTCGCCAGTATTATTTAAGGAACAAATCTGATGTGTACATCATATGACTTCCTTGTACGGAATATTAAATTATACGCATTTTTTTCTTTCCTTTCATTTAAACTTAATTGAATTAAATCTACATCATCGAAAGCGCATAAACCACAACAGGATAAATGCACTCTTTAAAATTCACTATATTTGTTTACCATAGTGATACTCCGGATACTCTGGCGTTAGGATCACTAAAGAGCGTTACATTTCATTCATTTTATAGCACAGAAGCGCACGATTTCTATTACCTGAAGAATTAGCTAATCGTTGCCACATATTCTATTCAAATACTATAATAAATCTAAAACTATGTATAAAAGAAATTTTTTAAAAAAAGGAGGAACAGTTTCTCACAGACGACTCAGTATTTCTCATTCAATTGTTTCAGTTCTTGCTTCGCGAGAAAGCAAAAATACGTAAAAATTCAAAATATCTGTATTAAAAATTACGAAGTAAATTTTAAACACTTATTTCTTGGAATAAATTCCAGAATGGATTAAGCATGATTTAATTAGCAATAATAAATGAAGGCGTTATCTTTGTTGCCGTGAAGCTTAATTTCTCTTTCTTTAGATTTCATAATTTTTACAAAATTGACATTTAAAAATGCAGTAACATGAATATTTTCTTTCCTTAAAGAAGTTCTAGAATTGGAAATGCATGGCTAGGACTTACGGTGAAAAAGTAAAGGCTGTGTGAAGATTTTTATGGACATGGTGTACAGCTATCGACAAGTATCTTAATTTACCCATTATTTTCATATAGCCATACGTATTAACTCAAATATTAGACAGCAACAACAATGACTGCAAGATTTTTTTGAACTCGACAATTCTTTAAGGTGAGTCATCTAATATTGTCTGGTTGAACAACTAGGAATATCGACTTTAGTAGTTTTTACATTTTCGAGTTGGAAAAAAAAAAAAAAAAAAAAAAGTCGTACAAGAATTAAAAAGTGCGAATTATAATGTTTTCGATCAATACGAACAGAACGAAGACCCATAAACATTTCACACAAATACGTCCTTTCCTATCTAAGTAACTCAACATACGCTAACGCAAAGAGCACACAACTGTTATCTAATGGTTGCGAGTGGAAAATTATGACCATCATAAATCGGTCATATACGAAAATGCCAGATCTTTGCAGATCTTACGAGCTTAATGTCTTCGAAAAGACCCATTTGGAGAAACATCTTTCAGGGATAATATATTTCTCGTACTTTTTATTATTATTGATCAGGACATCAAACCATTTCAGGAAGTCGGTAACAGAAATTCTTATGTGGTGGCGCACGATGGTCGGCAATAGATACTGCAGATGGTAATGGACACAAAGCAGGCGAAAGATCTCTAACGTCACAAAAGCAGACAAAATATGAACCCTAAAAGTATGTTGAGTATTACAACTATGAAGTGAATTAGGCATTGGCACTTAAATTACCTTATTTCCATCACGCACTACTATGCAGTAATTGAATGATATGGTTTTGAGCGCATCCCATTCCATCTAGAAAAATTTCTATTCCATCAAAAATCGAAGTAAACAAGTTATTATACTGCACCAATGTCGTGGCCTTCGTGAAGGGAAGAAATACTCTCTTCAAGAAGGATCCGGCCATGTCCAAGTTTACACCTGCACTTCATCTGCAGTCACTAGATTTTCACTCTAATGATTCTAACAGATGAAGTGAACAATGTCACAGTTCACATCTGCACACGATTGAACAAATGGATAACGAGTGGTTAAAGCCATTAAAGACCAGTATTTCGACCTAGATTCGATCCCTGTAATGTATAAAGAAGTTCGTTGCACTAAATTTCCATGATTTTCTTTAAGCATCTAAAACGAATACAAGTCCTCCACAAAATATTTTAAGTCCTAATACTTTTAAGTCCTAAATACTTTTAAGTCCTCCACAAACATATTTTCTTAGGTAGGAAGCTTTCGTATTTTTCCACAATTATTTTCCCGATGTATCAATAATTTTGTTCAATAATATTCTAAATTTGTACATATAAATATAAAAAAAAATCTATAAGAGCTAACTTCTAATTTAAACTTGAAATAACCCTTAATTCTGCACTTTAATTTGGATATTTTCCCTTTCCGGCCTAAAAATAGTAATTGCTTAAACTGTGTCATTTCAAATTAATATGTATCATATTACCTTGCATAACGCTCCTAAAGCAGAGACATTTTAGTCAATGAGCGAATAAGATTTCAATCGAGTTTGAAACTCTTTAGGGAATCGTACACTTTACACTCTCCCACGCTTTCTCTTGGATGCGTCGCACTGTGTACGATTATTTCAGCTTTTGCTTGCATCGAGCCAACATGTTGTTCCTTTCCTCTCTATTTCATCAATTTGTAGAGACAGCGAATTTTCGTTTCTACATGCATGTGAGCAAAGAAGCTTAGTGTTTCCACCTAGTGTCAGAAAAAAATCAAGGACTGAAACAATGTGAGAAACCAGAGGGCTTGTGTCGGAATTAAAATCACAGATCTCCCGTTTGCCAGCTCGATGAGGTAACCACTCATACCATGTATAGAGGGATGCAATAATTTCCTGAAACTATTAATATATAACATTACATGAACAATATGTCGTACAAAAAATTTCCTTGAAGTAACTTATATATAACAAACCAATACCATACATTATCAACTCAAATTCATTGGATTTAGATCTTGTGAGGTTATAAATACATCCAATAATACCATATTCATATATTTTAATACCCTAATTGCTAATTTTATATACCGTTTCATTACGTAAATTGTCATAATTTCCTGGTAAATGAATTTTGTCTGCAAGTCAGTAAGCTTACTGCTAACAGAGCAATTTCTCATGTTACGGGGAAAGACGGCCCTTTTAAATTTTTGCACTTTTACAATCTCAGAATAATTTCCACATATTGCAACACTATTGCGAACTTTTGTCCAAATCTACTGTAAGCGCTACTGGTTGTGAGAAGAATTTTCTAAATAAAAATCATTTTAAAACAAAAAAATGCTTATTTTGCATAAAAGAAGTACTTAAAAGTTATGTTTAAGTATTTAAGAACTCTTTCGTTCTGCCTACATTACAGAAACTGGAGCGATCAAGTAGACTTCTACGATATCATCGAGGGTTTTGAATTATAACTTTCCTTCAAAAATAAACGTAAATTTATTTCTTTGTATGTCTCTCTCTTTTTTTTTTTTTTTTTTTAGTTATTTGTTTGTGTATTAAGAAGGGCATTAAATTCAGAGTTCAGAGACCGCTTCGAGTAGCAAAAATAATCTTTACGCCATTGACCTGCCCACAACGAAACAATAGCGAAACGCACTTAAATAAATATTCTTAGAACTTGAGTCGCGCGCCATAAACTACGACACTTGTCCTATACTATGATTGGTTTAAAGCTGCCTGAAGACTTGTTCCCTCTCAATGAAGTCAAATGGACCAGACTGTGTATCAACCGAGGACCACAGAATGGTTTTTTCCGTCTCCTTTCCGTCCTAAAAATAGTAATTGCTTAAAATATATTCATCTAAATTACGTCATTTCAAATTAATAGGTATCATATGATTTTGCATAACGCTAATACAGACACATTTTAGCCAATCAGCGAATAAGATTTCAATCGAGTTTCAAACACTTATGGGAACCATAACTTTTACACTCTGCTTTCTCTTGGATGAGTCGCACTGTGTATTTCAGGTTTTGCTTGCACCGAGCTAACGTGTGCTCGATGCATTGCTTTCCTCTCTATTTCATCAATTTGTAAAGATTTCTACAAGATATCGTTTTCTACATGCATGTGGGCAATTAGGCTTGGTGTTTCCATCAAATATCAGAAAAAACCACGAAATGAATGTTCAGGAAATGTTCCTTCCAGCCAAACCTTAAGGGCCGTTCCCACTGGGGTTTATCTGAGCTAACGGAGTCCGTTCCATGTGTCGACTAGCTCCGCTATGCCTGCAGTTCAGATTTTTCAACTTGCTGCCGTATGGGAAAAAAACTGGTTATGGAGATGGGTCGGCTACGTCAGCTGTGTCCGTTAGCTGAGATAAACCCCAGTGGGAATGGCCCTATACTTTCACAAAGTCAGACGTGGGCATACCATTATGGGCAAACATAAAAAGGGAGGCGGAACGGACAAAAAAAGAGATTTTTCGCTTCTGGAGGTAACTGTTTGCCTCACAAAACGAATTCCTGACGAACTGCGTGAAATGGCACTGTATTAAGATGTTTCTTTGACGATTTTGATAGTAAATAGTTTTTTCGTTTGTATTTTAGTCCAGAAATAGAGGTTTTCATACTTTTAATTTCGCAGTCCTGATAAGTCTGTGATATTACATACTGTGTTTGTCTTAGCATGTAGAAAACATGCAAGATGTGATGGGGAACGGGTGAAGATAGCGCCCATCACGATGAATGATATTACGGTGGATCTATCTGAATGCAAGTATACAATTACACGTTCTTCACGCCATCACCAGCTACAAAGATCGGCCATGACTTAAGTATTTGCGTCCTCTCTCGTCTCCACACACCGCAAACACACACCCACATATATCTATCTATACATGATATCGCTAATGGGTTGTAACAGTGGCTCAACTTGAAAAATGAAGTTTTGCGATAAACACGTTTAAAGTTTTCCTTGGCTTTGAAATGCAAGAATCACACCCCTAACTGATGGAGCATTTCTAAAAAGCTCCATAACGATTTCTGTTAATAATAATAAAAATAAAATTTTATAAAATTAACATTATTAAATAATACATTTGATCAAATTGGTTTTCCCCCCATTATATGTTGAGCTACACTAGAAGTTAGTGGCTCATAATGATGAAAAAAATTTAGGGACAAGAAATTTAGTTTCATTATTAATAACTTGCTGAAATACCCGATGTTGCCCGGATTTGACGCAGAGTGAGAGGCTTCATTCAGAAAATGAGGGTAGTTTTCTTCGAAATCTCAGGTACTCAGTGATTTTCCTCTTATTTTCGTTTAAGGTGAATTGCGAAAAATAATAATAACCAAGCTTGAATAAAACTCTAGAATTTATTTAAATAGGGATAAAACATTATTTTTTTTTCGGCACCTTTTATTACAAAGCTTGAAAACACACAATGTTTTTTGTTTGTCCGCCAGGAGCGTAAAAAAATAAACTATCATACTCTTCGTAACAAGCATACTCTTCAGTAAGCCAAATTAATTGGCCAGGTTAAAAGTACGGTGCTTTCAAGTTAATACCTGTTACATAAAGCGATTGGTTCTGTTCCTTGTTGATAACCATAGCAAATACAACGGATGAAAAATGGAATCGCTCCAAATCGAAGAGCATATATTGCGGCATACCCCTTGTGATGTTGGCATCTGTAATGTTCGGCATAGATTCTTCACGATAAGCCTAGTTCCGCTGCACAGTTTCGGCGGGACAATGTTACGTAATAATAAGATATAAGACCTTTTTTCAAGTGAGCTTGTGTGGCGGTATTGCTAGGAGCTCCAGAGCAATTAAAAATTCTGGCAGAGGTGCACAGCTTATTTCTACATCTATTACTCAATCAATGGACGTAAAGGTAATAAAGTTGCCGGGAAGTATTTTTTGGATAATCTTAGAATGTAATTATGAGATACTATCTATCTGTCGATCGATTTTTTGAAGAGTTTTGCTTTGATATCTTTTATGTCTTTTTTACGAAATCAGCTTTCGGAAAACATTTATCTACTTTGGCCACTTTTCTTCCAGTTTATGAAATGTTTGCAAAAAATTGATACAGCGTGCATTTAAATTCTGCTTTAAAGGCTCTACGCTGCTCTAAATAGTCAATGAACATGAAGCCATCTACAAATTTTAGTCAGAGCTGATAGCGGGAAAGAAACAATGGAAAACGTGAACGGAAATCCTATCAAGAAAATATAGAATTTTAAAAAGTTGACTTAATTATAAGTGAGAAAAAAATTCTTGCAAAATGACATGAAGTAGCTCTCGCACAGACTTCAATATTTTACGTCCATCTTCAAAGTACACAAAAGTACTTCAAAGTACCTTTAGCAAAAAGTTTTCCGAAAAGCACATACGGAAATTACTTAAATTCAAAGCTGATTTAAATAAATAAAATATTAGTATTCAACAATCCATAAGACAAAAACAAGAATACGTTGTTATTAGTCAAGTCAGTATTTATATTGGGATATGATATGGTAACATCTTTCTATTATAACACATCGAATAAGATATAGAGCTTTGAATATTAGAAGAAAACCTAAGGATACTATTTGAGGAGAACATTTCAAAAGTTTTAAATAAACCATGTTAGAAATACATGAGCTTGAATAAATTATAAAAAGTTTTTGTGACCAAGTATCCAGGTAAGCTTGCATTTCAGAGCAAATACAAATTTACTATTGAGATAAACGGAAAAGAAATTAACAACAGAAATAATCTGTCATTTA